AAGGTCTTCACAAACCGGCCGGATTTATTTGCAAAGAGCACTCCATACTTTGTGTCTATAAAAACAGATCACACAGCGGTCATTTTACCAGCAGGAACGAAATTAAAGCCGATCAGACAAAACGTTCGCATTAGGGATTGTACAAGACACCGTAAGGAGGGATTGTATTTAAAGCTAGCAAGTGAGAATTGGGACAGTGTCTTAAACTTAAATGATGTCGAGGAGGCAGTGAATAATTTACAAGCAAAAATTAAACATCACATGAATGAATGTATGCCGTTACGGTCGGTGCGCATGTCATCACGAGATCCGATATGGATAACACTCTTAGTAAAATCGTTAATGAGGGTAAGGTCAAGAATAGCTCAAAGCAATAAAGATCGGTTGGCTGAGGTGAACAAAAAAATAAGCGAATTGAGTAGTAAGAGCAGAAGAACGCTCGCAAAGGCACCTGTCGGATCCAGAGAATGTTGGAAGTACGTAGATAACTTGTCCCAAAGACGCAGCATTTCTGCTAATGTTGCATTGGACACTAAATCACTGGAGGAGCTAAACGACTTATTCGCCGATTTGTGCACTGATGACGCATATACGAAGCCTGTACCAGCTATTGTGGATAAGAGCTTAGAAGCCCCTCAGATATCAGAAAGACACGTGTGGAATTGCTTACAACATCTGAAGAAAACCGCTATGGGACCAGATCTCATTCCCTTTTGGATTTGGAGGGATCACGCTGAGATCTTTACAAGTGTCATTCATAAGATCTGGAATGTTTCCTTGAAAACTGGCAAGTGGCTCTCCTCGTGGAAAAGGGCCCACGTGACCTTCCTCCCTAGGGGAGGAAGGTCACGTGGGTTGACATCCCTAAGGGCAGGCAGGATTTCAGAGGAATTAAGATCACGCCTGTAATTGCACGTGCGTTTGAGAAACCTGTGTATAACACCCATGCACGAGACACTGTCGAACAGCATCTGAGTTCAACACAGTTTGCTTATAAGACAGGGGGGAGTTGCACTGATGCGCTCTTGAGCATGCAGCATATCATCTACAGCTATTTAGACGAGCAAGACTGCAAAGCCGTCCGNCTTTCTAAAAGCGCTTTGCAATGACTCATGATTCGATAATTCATTTCTTAGCTATATCTCTAAATTCATAAAGCTAAGTTATAAAAATGCAAATCATTGATACCATCTCACCCGTAAACCGCTGAGTTCATATTTCATGATTCCACTCTCCGGCCTCGGTAAGTTGAGGTGGAGAAAGGTAAAGGGGGTGTAGCCTATCTGTCCAGTCTTATCCTACTCTCGTCCCCAGGGTCACTCGTTGTCACCAAAAGACTCTGGGAGTGAGAATGGTCTCACACCAGATGCACAGACACCGCCTTAACGCGTTGAAACCATGTAAATCTAAAGATTTCTATCATCAATTTTTTTTTTACTAAGAAAAGGTAAATTTACTGAAAGGAACGAAAGGAAAACAATAAATGAAAAGTTTAACATTACTAAGTCGAAGACTTATCAACAATCGAAACAAATTAATGAAAAAGAACCATTTCATTTTGAATCGTACGTCTTGTTATATGACATGAAATGTACATGGAAGAATGAATTAGCTGAGATAAAAACGCAATTAATGAAGCAAACCATCACTTGTGGGGATTTTGGCTAGTTCAAAGTTGTCAATGGAAAGATGAGACCCCGAAAGTACACCTTTATTGTTCTTCGAAAAGCCTTTTTCAACCCTCGATGGTTTGATTACTCGACTGATTATATATCCTTTACCTCTAAGTGAAACAGCTGTTTTTAGGTAATCCCCTGTAGCTTTCTTATTGGTGGAATGACTTTCAGCTTGTCAGAGCCATAGAGTTACTGTTATTGTTAGTTTTCAATTTTGACTCAGGATGAACTTGAATGCCACTGGTACAACTGGATCTCAAAAAAGGAAATATGCGCCTCAGATAATGGCAAATCCCTGAACGATATTCTTGCAAAATAGTACCGTACACGACTGGATTGGTAGAACTGTGAATATACAGCAGAAACTCACTGAAACTCAGGACATCAGAAAAGTGCTCGAAATCCCCACCGTTGCCAAAGTCTAACCAAAGCCATAACACTTGTTTGGGCAACATAAAAATGGCAAAAAGAGTGACTATCATGCGCAGGTTTTTGTTGATTTTGGCGTTGTTTGCTTGTCTACGAAGCACCGCAGCCGAGCGCTTGCTGGAGTCCGAAATTTTTAGGCGGGAGCGGCGCTTCAAGAAAATACCGATTCTTGCGTAAGCGATTGTGATAACAAAAAGGGGGAGGGCGTATTGTAACGAAACAACTGCGACTGTATATGCTTGTCGCATAGCGAAACTAGGCCAGGTTTCTGTGCAACGGCGTCCTCTCTGGTGGGCAACTACCGTTAGGGGCGAAACACACCCAAGTCCTGCGATCCAGGTAAAAAACAGGACCCATAAAACTTTGGTGACTGTGAGCCTTGGAGCCAGCGGTTTCACGATGGTGTGCCAGCGTTCTGTCGCCATGTATGTCAGCGTGAACACACTTGCGAATAAACACATCGTCATTAGAGGCCAGACTCCTTTGCAGAGCAAGTCGCCGAAGGGAAATTCGCGGAACTTTAAGAAGAAATCCACGGAGATGCTGATTGTGACCATCCAAAAGTCACTAATCGCCAGATTGAGAATGAAGTAGTCGTTGATTTTCCGGTGTCTTTTCTTGTTCCATATCACGAGTATTACCAGAATGTTGCCGATTGATCCAAACAGAAGAATAACGGGGTAAATCGCAAGTTGAACGTAGTCAATGGAATCAAAAGGCACTACAGTTTTTGTTTTCTCCGTGTTATTAACCATGTCTTTTATTCAGCACGTAATTTGTCTTATGCTGCATAGTTTGGGTTATTCAAGCTACAACCAAAGCAAAGTACAAGTTTTAGTTATCAAGGCTTTTAAACAGGTAATAAGGATTTGGATGGGGGCAGAGCCAGAAGGCCAAACACCATTTCCTGATGCATTACAAATTTCTTTGCTTGAAAGCCTACAATATTTGATTTGGAAACTAATGGAACCTTTCAGTTACACGGAGAAGGAAATGTGATAGAGCAATGGTTATAATACGATGATAATAATAATGATGATAGTAATAGTAATGATAATAATAATAGTAATAATAACAATATAATAGACAATGATAATAATAACGATGATGGCGATGATGGTCATGGAAGATAAGAAACTTGCTTTGTCAAGTTATGCACCCACAGTCTACAGAGAGCTATGAAATGATTTTTAAGCGTTAAATTTTAAGATGGAGTTAATTTCAGCTATTGAACATGATCGCATCTTAATTACCACCTAGTGTCTTTAAGAAATGTTATTCTATTGCTTATAGCGTTATCTGTACCTGGGATGGATATGATTTATGTTGATACAGGTTTCTTTTTTATACTAATGAAAATAATAATAATGTTAATGGTAATAATGATAATAATAATAACAATAATGATAATAATAATATTGATAATAATAGTAATAATTTTTTTTTTTATTTTTTTTAATAATTATAATTTGCCATAATCACTAAAGATTTACAAAAATCGTGTTAAAAGGCTTAAAATGTCTGATAAAAATCTAAGAAACGCTTTTGGATACACGTTTCGGTTAGTAACGATGATGACAATAACAATAATAATCATAATAATTCGGCTCTCTAGGATCAGACTCGTATCAGACCCAAACTAACTTTGATAACAAAAACGACCTACATATAAAAATCGTGAAAGTAACTACTAGTTCGAGAGAATTTCAGAAAACGTGCATCGAAATTATCTTTAGAAGAGTAAATTACATTAAAAACTATATGAGAAGGGAAATGACACTCTTATTCATAATAATAATAATGATAATAATAATTCACTCTAATCATCAAAAATATTTACAAACAAATTAAGATAAAATCCTTAAAAATCAAAAAATACATTGAAAACGTCGATTAACAAAAGATCTGCAAATAAAAGCTAACTGGTGCACGATTCGTTTACTTGTTGAACTTAAGGAAGGAAAGAGAAAAAAAAGAAATTAATAGTAGTACTAAAAGTGAGGAATATTAAAATACTTGATAGTGATAATAACAGTAATCCTGTTAATAAGATCCTAACAATTGGCAGCCTCTGAACTTTGAATATCTAGGTCTACATTAGTAAAATCCAATTTGGGCCTTCTAATTGTTCTGGATCCTCTTAGGCAGATTAGGGCCGATCTTAATAATGATAATTATAATAACAATGATAATAATAATAATAACAATAATAATAATAATAATGATGATGATGATGACGATAATGATAGTAACATGAATATGTAT